GCGCCACCATGCCCAGCTAATTTTTTGTATTTTTAGTAGAGACGGGGTTTCACCATGTTGACTAGGATGGTCTCGATCTCTTGACCTCGTGATCCGCCCGCCTCGGCCTCCCAAAGTGCTGGGATTACAGGCTTGAGCCACCGTGCCTGGCCCGAATACCAATTCTTAATGTTAAAAAATATTTTGAAATCCATCTCAATGGGAAAAATGAGTTTTTTCTCTTGTGAATAATGCAAGTGAAAATTTTCTGAATTCCTATCTTTTCTTATTTCATTTAAATTACTTTAAAACTACTTTTAACTTTCATTTCTAAGTAGATACTATGCAAATTCGTCCATTAACAGGTAAGCCAGAATGAACATTTAAAAATTCAGCAGAGGAATGACACCAACAAAATAGCAGATTAGGAAGCTTCAGGTTCTTGATCCAACACAGAAATGTTGATAAAATGAAGAAGTGTCTGAAGCAACTTTATTAGATAAGATCTCTAGAAAGCAATCCAAAGTTTACAGTAACCAAGAGGCCTAATCAAGTAAAAGCAGTTTTCTAAATGGTAGGAAAGTTTTGTGGCATTTTTACTTGCCTTCACCCTACCCTATCCCCCAGAATGACAACGGTCCTGGTCTTAAGCAGTGGCAGTCCAGTTCTCAGTTCCCTCCCTTGAACCAGAGTTTATATGCAAAGTATGGTGCAGAGCAGAACTTATATGCAAATTACTGTGCATATGTATCCTAAGTCTGGGAGATACAGGAAAGACTAATGCAAAGAGCTAGTTTTTGTTTCATATAACTTGAAAAACAGGCAGAAAGAATTGCAGGGACGACCTGTAAAAGTGGCAAAGGGGACTACGAGCCCAGCTGCTTGGAAGAAAAGCTTATGAGTGGAAAAATACAATAGACCATCTAAGGCCAGGAGGAGAATCTGGAGTGAGAATCTTTATGAAATTAGGACATTCAAAAGCAGTCAAATATATGGTAGAATTAGAAAGCCACGTCTGCCCTGATAAGATGCATGCTCATAAAAGAAATGAAAAGACCTTAAACTTTGATCTCAGGCTGATAACTAACCTCAGCCTATCTTAATGGTGAAGTGTCCCACCAAAGAGCTAATCTGCAAAGTCTAGGAAAGATGGTACCTTTCTCTTTCTCCCAGTGTCTCGTTTGTTTCCGCTCCTGACATTCAAGGAACTCTGTCAATCATTAGCTGAGCACAAGCCAAAGAAACAAGAGACTTTAGTGATCACACATGACAAGGAATGGTCTTTGAAAAAAGTTTGGAAAAGTACCAAAACAAATGAACTACTACAACCTTTAAAACAACTCTCTTAATCCCAAACAAGAGCTATGGGTGTTCATCACCACTATTACCTGCCTTACAAGAAATTCTACGAGTTCTTCAAGTTAAAATGAAAGGACATTAACATGAAAACATATGAAAGTACGAAACTAACTGTAAAGATATACACAAAGTATCAAGGATTCCTGAAGTAAGCAGTAATCTGAAACGGGACCGAACAGGGCTTGCAGGTACTGACTGATACCAGGAGTTTCTGTGTCACCGCATGAGGAACCTCTGTCATTTCCTTTTATATTCATGATCCTTTAGGTTTCATTTCATACAGATATAGGAGTTAAAAAGAAATTACTGAAGCCAGGTGCACTGGCTCTCATCTAAAATCCCATCACTTTGGGAGGCTGAGGCAGGCAGATCACCTGAGTTCAGGAATTCGAGACCAGCCTGGCCAACTTGGTGAAACCGCACCTCTACTAAAAATACAAAATGAGCCACGTGTGGTGGCACACACATGTAATCCAGCTACTTGGGAGGCTGAGGTAGGAGAATTGCTTAAACCTGAGAGGTGGAGGTTGCAGTGAGCAAAGATCAGGCCACTGCACTCCAGCCTGGGTGACAGAGTGAGATTTCATGTCAAAAAAAAAAGAAAGAAATTACTTAGTGAGAGTACAGGAAGGAGTTCTCGGCAAGGATTTCCTTTTTAATGAAGAGCAGCCCCTAAGTCATCTTCTAACAAAGAGTAGCCTGTAAAACCGAGCTGCAAACACAGATACCGACAGTTGTGCCAATCCTGTTCAAAATGGCGACTCCATCCTCCCTTCTCTTCCTTGCCAGCCACACGTACAGTAAGAGCAGACAAGATGGTGCCAGTCAAGTGGAAAGCCCATTTGTGTAAGATTAGGGGGGGGTGGCCAGCCTTTCCAGTGTGCTATATAAACATCATAACTGAATGAACCAATCTGTGGGCCCTACATAAATCAGACACCACCTCTTCGAGCCTCCCAATAAAATCTGGCACGTCCACCGCCAGCTAGTCTTTCCCTTTCAGAAGCCCATCTCTCTCACTAAAGAGAGAGCTGTTCTCCTTTCTCTTTCTTCTGCCTACTAAACCTCAGCTCCTAAACTCCTCGTGTGTGTCCATGTCCTAAACTCTCTTGCCGCGAGATGACGAACCTTACCCCAGACAATGAAGTCACTTCAATATTTTCTGTAATATCTTTTATAAAGAAAATGGAGACATGTGCAACCAGAAAAAAACCACAAATCAAAAATACTCAACAGTCTTTAAATATGTTAAAAGGACTACGGAAAACCAAAGAGCTAAAGAAAATTAGGAAAATGATATTGGAATAAAATGAGAATATCAACAAGAGATACAAATTATAAAAAGGAAATTCTGGAGCTCAACAGTACAATAACTAAGGAGAAAAAATTAAATAGAGGGGTTCAAAAGCAGCACTGAGTGGAAGGAAGAAAAATAATCAGTGAACCTGAAGATAAGAAAATTTAAATATCAAGTCTGAGAAGCAAGAACGGAGGGAAGTGAACAGAACCTAAGGGACCTCAAGTGAACCAACATGGACATGATGGAAATCACAGGAGGAGGAGAAAGAAAAGGGGGCAAAAAATTACTTTTAAAAATGGCAGAAAATGTCTCAAATTTAAAGAAAGACATGAATCTATAAATCCAATGAGTCTAATGTTAGAGGTTGATTTGTATCTTCCCCCAAAGATATGTTGGCGAGCTATAATCTCCAGTACCTCAAATATGACCTTATTTGGATATAAGGTCACATTAATATAATCATATTAAAATGAGGTCATTAGGATGGGTCCTAAATCAATATGATTAATGTCTTTATAAAAACAGCAAAATTTGGGTACCGAGACAAATATACAAGAAGAACTCCATGTGAAGATGAAGGGAAAGATCAGGGTGATGCAGCAAAGGCCAAGGTGCACAAAAGATTGCTAGCAAACCGCCAAAATCTAGAGGAGAGAGAGGAAATAAATTTTCCCTCACAGCCCTCAGAAGAAATCAACCTTTCTGACAAACTGATCTCAGACTTCTAGACTCCAAAACTGTTGACAATAAATTCTGTTGTTTAAGCTACCCAATTAATAGTAATTTGTTACAGCAGCTCCAGGGAACTAAG